GTTACCTTTGTTGATGACTTTCTCGGATGGCTTGGTTATGTTTAATGAATGATAAATCTGAGATGTTCTCTATTTTTAAATCTGGGGTGCAGGCCAAGATGAATTTTGACAAGCTCTCAATTCATTAATAGGTGAAATGGAGGCAGCATTGCAGCAGTCCTGGAGTCTCTGGTTGAAAGGTGATAATAATACTGCCTGCATTCACAAAATGGCCAATGCTAGGAGGTGGGTGAACAGTATTATGACATTGAAAGCAAGGTTCAACGTATCGATACGATACACACTGTATCAGGCATATCGTATCGTATCTTTGGGTACCTGATACACCTGTTTACAGGTGTTTTTGGGAACCCATTTTTATAAAATTATATATATATATATATGTTTAAAACTGAAATTTGAAAAAATAACTAAAAAAAATAAAGGGTGTATAGTTTAAAGTACCTATTACACCTCTGCCGATACGCAAAGGTGTATCGATACTTTGAACCATGATTAAAAGTAAATGAGGAGGTGCTGGGGGATGAGTGTCGAATCAAGGGAGCCATTATGGATTTCTATTCAAGCCTCTACGAAGAATGGTGGAATAGAAGGCCAAGGCTGAATGGCTTGGACTTTAATAGATCTGATGAAGAAGCTGCTGGTTTAGAAAAGTCATTTTTAGAGGAAGAAATAATGGATGCCATTTTCCATATGGAGGGAGGTAAGTTACTAGGACTGAATTGTTTTACAATGAAATTCTGCAAGATTGGTTGGTACACTTTCAAACAGGATTTTTCAAATGGAGGTGCAGAGGGACTTTCTATGGAGTGTTAGGGCCAAGGAAAGAAGTCCCACTTGGTGAAATGGGACGTTTGTAGGGATAAAAAAGATGGCTTGGGGATTAGAAGGGTGAGGTTATTTAATGGTGCACTACTGAGGAAGTGGTTGTGGAGGTTTGGTTGTGAAAAGGAGGCATTATGGAGGGTCATTGCATGCAAATATGGGCTGGTGAATTTTGGATGGGATTTAAAAGAGGTGAAGTTAACTCATGGGGTGTGTTTTTGGAAATGGATAATGAATTTTCATTCAGCCTTTATGAATTGTCTTACGATGTTGGAAATGATTCAAGAACTAGATTTTGAGAAGACAAGTGGTTGGGGATTGAAAGGTTAAGTGATATATGTGCAAGGTTGTATAGACTTATGAATTGTGTCTTATGATGTTGCAATTTCTAAATGACCTGGCCCCTTAATGGACCTGAATTTCCTTGAAAGCTTGCTAACATTTTCCAAAAAAAAAAGCTTGCCAACATTTAAGGACTTCATGCAGCAGTTTCCTTTTCTGGTTTTCCCATCAGACATTGTGAAGCTCTTTGAGAGCAGTTTTCTTTCTATACCTACAAAAAGGTTAGAGACTATGTGGAGGTGCAAACAAGTAGAAGAGATGGGTTATATGGAAGGAGAGAAGCTCCATTCTATTTAATGAGAGGTGAGATTCTGAAATGGTCATTTACTTGGCTGGATACACACAAGCCAGGGAACATGGCAGCATAGAGACATTCTGACAGAAATTAAGCAAATAATAAGGGAAAGAGTTATTTCAATTGTGCGGTTTCATAGGTTAGCAAGTTGCATCACTGACTCACTTGCAATGCAAGGGGAAAACAGGGCTCAAATGTATTTGGGCCTTAGGGACTAACAAATGAAAGGTACTTGGTAGCAGTAATGAGAAGTAAAGACGTTGGTGTTAGGTGGTGAAAGGCCTGCCTAACGTGATCCTTTTTTTAAAAATCAATAAAGTTATTCTTAACAATAAAAAATGATTATTTATTTGGTTATGATCAGAGTTATTTATTGGATGCTTAGAATAGAAGATATAAGGGAGTAATAGTTGTGTTGATCTTTTGGCAACCGATTGCTAGTTTTTTGTCCCATAGGGGCACCCATCAACGTTGATATTTTATCTCCTGTTTGTGGAAGTCCTTCTTCCTGTTGAGCTGGCAACCCATGGAACAAAGTAACCCAAGAATTAGCACCTAGGCTTCACTGGAAATCAACTCCTAGAAGAACTATTAGCAAGCAATACCTAATAGCTTCTTGAGGGAATTGTCACTTTAGGAAAGTTTCTGTAACTTAAATGTTAAAAGCAGAAAAATATTACTTTATCTTCTGCAGAAAAAATATAGACCTTATATATAATTATAGGCAAAGATGAGGAAATTGGCCAGCCTTTCCCCCTTGTTTTTCTACTTTACACCAAAAGCAAACTAAGATACTAACTAGGAATAAAGCAAATCCTAGTTGACTTGGAACTAAGACTCCTACAGTTTAACATAATTCTTGGTTTTGTACAAATTCCTATTTCAATTAGGAAAACTAACTCTTAACTATAATCAGGAAAACCAACTTCTAATGCAACTAGAAAAACCAAATCCTATTGCAACTATAAAAAATACTAATGGTTTAAATGATATAATATAGCTACTGAAGTACCGAATAATTAATTATATGATAGTACCCTCCGAAATGCAAGAAAACACATGGAAATTCAGAATATCCTGGACTTGACTCATTAGCTTTTGCATCGTTCTCCCCTAGATAGAAAAAACATGCCCTTGAGTTTTAGAGGATCTGAGGATGAATCATGAAAGTTTGTTCAATGCCGATGGTAGAAAGAACATAAGCTATGAAGATTCCCAAAGCAGCTTCAATGAACTTGGATTGTACAATAAATTTCTTTTATATGACCAGGAAATGATCTTGAAAGCAATGTATATCTGAACCTATTATCTGTTTTCGATGAATATATCTGAACTATTATCTTCCATAACTTAGTAGGTTGAATCAGAATGTCTTAGACCTCTCTCTCTGATGGATATCTTTCAGAAATTTATTACAATGTAATAAAACAATCTATATACTATGTGTTCAGTGATTTCCCCCAGGCTACAATAATTAGTAGCCATTACATTGCTTTCCCTTCGTTTACAGCAACTGTTATATATCCCTTTAAATGGTTTCCCAATACATTCGACTTCTGCTTACCCCTTGTCTTGCAAGAGTTGATGTCATTGATCACATGAATCTGGGTATCATCTCCCTTCTTTTTTCTTATACTACAGCCATCTGGTAGCTGTTTTTGAGTCTCCCACAATCAAAACTGTGTGGTCTTCCTAACTTCAGCCCTTGTAATAAAGCCAGTCATTAATCCTTGTTCAGTAGTTGTCAAGGCATCGCCTAGGTGACTAAGCACCCTTGGCTGGGCACCTCACCCAAACGCCTTGACTTTTAGCAACTAGGTGCCCTTCTAGACAACTAGGTGCCCACCTAGCTGACTAAGCGCCTGCCTAGGCGACAAAAATGACAAGGCAGGCACCTTTTATAATATCATTTGTACTGTATCTTATTAATGTATGTGTTAATAAATTCTATTATATGCTATATATATATATCAATTATACTTTGTTTTAATGTTTTACTATTGAAGTTTAAAAGATCAAAGGGTTTTGAGGAGAGAAGAAAGAAAGAAAGAAATAAGAAAGAATAGAATTACGAAGTGGTTCTTTTTTTTTCTATTCTCTCTCTAATTAAATAAAACAGAAAGTCCATCCTTGTTTTTTCTAATTTACTTTCCATCTTGAATATTTATCATATAAAGTTAACCTTCTTTAGTTGCTAATTGATATGAATTTCTCTATTAAATCCTTATTATAGTAGTATTATTTATGAAAATAATGAAATTAATATGTGTAGAAGTTTTTCATCTTTTAGATGTGATGATTTGCCACATTTTTAAAGGAAATTTAATATTCTTAATAAAGATAATTGCTATTTTTTCAATTAATATACATGTTGAATGGTATATAAAACTAGGGAACTAGCCAAAAGTTAGTGTTTTATATTATAAATTTTTTATAATATGATTGAGAGGTGATCCATAATGGTAGGACCAATACCTACACTTTTTGGAAGGATGGTATCAAATATTTTTTCGCAGCTGAACTACCAGATGGACTTCCCAATTGTTCACACTACCGTCTAGGCCCTAAAGAGCAAGAACTGAAATGGCAAGTGAAAGAGCTGCTAGAAAAAGGGCATATCTGCCCCAGCCTCAGTCCATGTGCAGTCCAAGTTTGTTGGTGCCAAAGAAAGAATGTCAAGTGCAGATTTCCAATTCCCTGGTTGGATGAAATGTTAAACAACTTAAGCAAAACCTTGTGTTTCCCAATAATCGATTAGAAAAGTGGGTATTACCAAATAAGACCTAAACTTGGAGATGAGTGGAAAACATCCTTCAAAACTAATGAGAGGTTGTAGGAATGGTTAGTCAAGGCATTTAGCTTGTCTAATGCCCCATCCACTTTCATAATGTGTACTTGGCAATTTGGTTCTTTGCACCAGCTTGAGGGGGAGTATTGTTAGTGTGCACCAGTGTTGGTTTTTCTCAAGGTGCTTTACTCTATCTATTTCACATTAATAATTAAAGGAGTTTATAAGGGCCATGGCCTTAGTATCCCTCTCTTCAATTTCTCTATTTTCCTCCCAGCTTTTCCTTCCCTCTCCTCTTTTGATCTATAATGGCCACTCTATCTATTTCACATTAGTAATTAAAGGAGTTTATAAGGGCCATGGCCTTAGTATCACTCTCTTCAATTTCCCTATTTCCCTCCCAGCTTTTCCTTCCCTCTCCTCTTTTGATCTTATAATGGCCACTAGAATTAAATAAACAACAATAATAAAGGTCCTGCCATCTTGAAGGTGTCCTGATGTATATTCTTTATGGGTTTCACCATTATATCTGTGATTTGTTCGATGTGCATAAAATGGATTAGTTGCACTGATGGACCATGTTTAGGTTCTCAGCTTTGTCACTTTCTTTGTTAAACAATGTGATCTCCAGTTTTGGAGCTTTTGTGTTTTCAGTTGCTTGGTTTGTTATTTTTGTTTCTCTCGTTTAGAGTTTCTGAAGTGCTGTCTATCAATTCACTGATATATGATTTGACCTCTTTTTTCTCTTAGGGAGGCAGTTACATTCATTCAAGAGGATTTTCAGTGTATCATGTGTTTAGACACCTCACGGTAGGAGCTACAATGACTAGGGAATTTTGCAGTTTCAGTGGCTGACTGAAATACATATGAAGCTCAACTTTTCACTTTTGACCACACCCTTGCAGGAACATGCTGTCAAGGCATTGCAGTTTTTTCTTGGCATCAACACTGATACGGCATTATATAATCTTCTGGTTCTCTCTCTCTCTCTCTCTCTCACACACACACACACACACACACCCACAAACAGTCACAGACAGCTAAACCAGAGATGCACAATGAGATGACCTAGTTCAGTTCCAATCCCTGTCATCCTAAGTAAGGTATATGTGCATGAGTACTTTGTTTATCTCCTGGAATGTCCTTGACTTTTTATGTTTTGGCAGCATTGGATCTGCAGCTACGAAACTTTGTTTACAAAATCCTGCTGGTAGGTAAACATGTCCTCCTGTAATTTATTTCTATGATTGCTTTGAAGTATTTTTAATTGTTGTTTTGCAGTAAATGTGGGCGGCTTTTGACCATAGACAAGCAGTCGACTTTACTTCTGCCTCCTATTATTCGTCCTTACCGACATTCTTTTACTACAAAAGCCACAGTAACCCAATCATCATTTTCAATGAAAGACCAAAGCTCACATCTCGTCCCAGCGTATCATGTTGGGTGCTACTCTGAAGAATTATAGTCACGTCTAGTGGTTACCATTTCATTGGCCAACGTCTGCCTGCAAGGCCTTGTGAGGAAATTCGACAACGAAAAGAAATGCTGGCGTTTGTAGATTAGAAGACCCTCTCGATGAAATTTCAATTTTATCCAGTCACGAGATATTGACAATGTAGATTATGCCCGGAGATTTTGTAGAGAATTTTTTCAATGTACATAAACCAGTACAACCCAAACAAACTAATTTGTTTGGGGAAAGGTTTATTTATTTATTATTATTATTATTTTTTCTGGGCAAACAAACTATTTTGTTCAACATTAAACCAGTACAACCCAAAGCTTTCTTTCATCCATTCCGGAGGCTCATCTGGCGACAGTACATCCTTTTTCAGTCTACTTATGGAAAAATATTTACAAAGATTTGATTTATACTTGATGTTAACAAAATGAACACAAGACCAAAATATCATATTGATCACTCTTTAAAGCATGATCTGAATTAGGTTATTTTTTTTTCCTTGAAAAAAAAGCCCGCAGGCAAATTCATTCAACTTAATCCTATTGTAGAGGATTTGGGAAATTTGGTGAACGAGGCATGCCTCTATTCTAGAAATAGTTCAAGCATGCGCGGTTAAGACATGCGCAATCTTATTTCATGTACGGGGAGTGAAGATGCTAAAGTTTTGTAAATTGTGGGAAATACTACTATAATTGGCAATGGTGTGGATTGGTCAAAGGATCACTTTACTATGATCCAACAAGAGTTGGTGCAAAATTTTTGAGCAAAAGAAGTCCTTTGAATGCAATAGCTTCCATCTTTTATGCATACTGATTATGATTTTGATGGGGCTGTACCCCGACTTGGTTGGCCTGCCACATTGGATTTGACATGGTAGGCAATTTGAATGTTGGCCTGACCATGTCATCAGCCCGAATTGCCACCATGAGTAGAGCAACGGCCACAGAGTGGACCGAGAATCCAAATGTTAGATAGTGTATGTCCTTAGCTCCAATCAGATTGATGTACATTATGACATTTATTGTAAATGAATAAAGTACATATTTGATTCATGTTATAGTGGTGTGTTTCTGTGTAATACCCTTAAACTGGACACTTATGAGACTCGTGTTAGTTTAGATTGTTCACAGCCGTTGGATAAGTTTGCGGAGATTTATTTTGCCAAGGCTGACACTAATGTGCCGCCAAGTGTTGGGGTGGCCTATTTCAGTTGTTAGGGTGAGACCCGAGGTACATGCAGTGTAGGTTTACATGAAACCCTGAACTGAACCATAATTCCAGTATTGCCCTGGACCTTGGTGATTAGTGGGCAAAACTGGAATGTTACACCTGACCCCTATACTCGATTATAATACTACACTAGGTGTCGGATTGGACTGTCTTTGATATGCCAATCAGTGAGATCCTTAGAGGGTGTCAAAACCTTGGTATGTTGGGACAGTCCGAGAATTCATCTGAGTGGGTGATCATAGTGATAGGATAAACCCCTTTGTCGGACAAAGGTAATGATCGGGGATGCACTCTCTCTGATGGAAACCAAGATTGCCGGCAACTGATTTCAATCGTTGAAATTTGTATGTATTATGGTTTCAAAATGTTTGTAAAAATGTTTTAATTTTCGGGATCCATGTGAGTAGAGATGCAACACTGTTCCTTGCAGCCGAGGGAGAGGTCCTCTCTTGTCGGGCAGTGTTTGATCATTATGAGCTGAGAGGTTAAGTGTAAGACCATTGAGGGTAATAATTGATGGGCTAATCTTACATCTGCCCATAGTCCCTGGGTTTTTATAAGGTGGCTTGGCCCAGGGACCACTTAGTATAAGTGTTGGGCCCGTTAAGAGCCCATGATGATGGGATTAGAGGTTCACTGTCCATAATAGTGAATTCGGCCAAGCTTTGTAACAGAGGCTAGGCTGAACCCATGTGGCTGATGTGTAGATCAATGTTTGGGTCCCACGCCATACAAAGAAGCCCAACTAGGCAGTAGTTTGGAAGGCCATTGAGCACATAAGACTTATTAGGCCTAAAGCTCATTTCAAACTGGTTTAGTTAGACTAATTAAAAAGAGGGGCGGATCTGGGATTGGATCAACAGATAGGATAGGGAATTATCCCTATCCACTCAGAGAGTCCATATCTGAATTTGCATCTGGAAACCTCCTAATGAGATTAGGAGAGAGTTGATCTAATCTGCAGATAAGATAAGGATTTATCCTTATCACTTAAAGAGAGTCCAGATTCAAATAAGTATTTGAATCAGGAAACTCCTAATGGGATTAGGAGCTGATCACTTTAAGTCTATAAAAGGAGGAGGGGGCAAACCATTCACCCCATCCCAAAATCCCAAAGATCAGATCTCAGATCACATAGAGAGAAGACAACAACAGTGTGACTGCGCCATCTTCTCCTTGCGTTCTCCTCCAGTTGCCGCCTATTGGCAGTTCGATTTCCAGTTTTGTAGGAGCGATCAAGAATAGTTCTTGATATCAGTCTTTGGAGAAAGGCTGATCAGAAGTCGTGCTCACAACTTCCATCGAATCCTTGCTGAAGGGTTCGGTTCTTGGGAAGAACACTACTGATTCTGCTCCACCCTACACTATGTCATCTTCAGTGGGAGCAGTCTTTGGATATTTCTTTGGGCGTGAACACCTTCATTGGAGGATACTATTTCTTCGTATCAGGTATCTCCCTCTCCTACCTTTTGGTTTCAGATCTGGTCCGGTTCTAGGTTCAAGATTGATCTTTGAAAATGCAGATTTTTTAAAACAAGGAATGTGATTCTGGTGGGTGTCGAATCCAACCAAAGATAAAAAGTCTTGCTCGAAGTGAATAATTTGTATATGGTGATGAGCAAGGTCATCTCCACAGGGATTGGGTGGATTTATTTCCAAGTAACGAAGTAAGGGGCTTTGTAAAGTTAAGGAAAATAAGATGAAATAAGGAAAATAATAGGAAATAACAGAAAGCAAGAGATCAAATCGATGGTAGATAGCTTCCGGTTGAAGGGACAAGTTCAGCCTTGATTCTTATCATTGATCATCGATGCAAGGATAGGTTTATATGGTTACGAATAAATTGGTTATAGCCATTAACAAGCTCTAACAGCCAGCCTCCACTCGTATTAGTCGACAACCAAAACAAGCTCCTTGGTTGTTTCCCTTATCCATAGACAGTCCTAAACAAGCTCTTAGGTTTTAATCTACTAATAGCATTAAGAGGGGAGAGACCTAATTCTGGTCAGTGATCTCACAAGCTCGGACCGTTTAAACCAGATCATACCTTTTCCTAACATAAATCGAAAACTTTTTTGCAATCAATTTCTGTTAGTTGCCACCATGATCGAACCTACCAATCATATACGAAACTGGAGGTTCAATCGGCCATWGATTATTTCCATTGAATGAGCAAGGGGCCCTTCTTGCTTAATCAATAAAAATAATCCTCATAGTTAAACGCAGAAAACATATGAATACCCATAAACAATGAACTGAAATAAAAATCAAT